TTCGCTTTAACCCGCCCAGCTCGGCAGCATCGCGCTTCTCGTCTCTCTTTCTCCCTATTTTCACCTCGATCCCGGTGTATATTCCCAGCTTTCTTCTCCCTCTGGCCCTCTTCGTTTCTCGCTCTCGCAGCGAAGCTCGCGGTCGTTTCCTTCGTCTCTCCTTCTGCGTTCGCGTGGGTCTTCCTCCTCGTATCTCAACAGTCCGCTCGGCTTTCAGTCACAGATCACGAACGCCGCTTGTAAGTTCGTCGATCGGTTCGGTTGAATAATTTATCTCGCCTTTTTCCCCCGTGTTCCAACCAGCCAGCGGGTATTTGCATTTCACTTATCCGGAACAGGCATCGCCGCTTTTCTGAACGGTACTTCCGCGAGCTGCTCGCGTTCGTCCTTGCGTTTCCACCTGTTCGACACTCCCGTCGCGTTTATCATTTCCGTCACGCCACGGCTAGCCACCGCTCCGTCCCTCCTGTCCCCCGACGTCGCCACCTCTTCTTTTCGTCTAATTCGCATCACGAGCGCGTACGCGCGACTATCTTTCGTTGCATCCCGCGCGTTGCACCTTCGCAGCCGAGAGAGCTTTATACACACTTATACTTATGGGCAGAACGTTGCCTCGGAGTTCAGTCGGCAGCTGATAATTGGCCGCGGTGATAGCGACGGGACGCAAGAAGAGGAACAAGAACGAAGCCGGCGCTCGCGCACGTATCCCCGTCCGAGCGTGAGGGAGCGAGACGGAAGGGTCGGTTCCCAGGGTAAAAGCGGAAGCGGCGCGCTAATGCGCTAAACGGGTCGTCGTCGGCGACGCCGCGGGGCATGCGCGCGTCTTTTTCTCAACCCTTTCGCGTGGGACGGTTCTGATCGTCCGCTTGTTGCTTCTGCGGGGTTTAATGTCTTGTTTTTAGACTGTTTGCGGTCGCCATGATTTATGAAGTCCTCTATCTCTCGCGAGCTTCCTTTTTTCGGCTACCCTTTTTGTTTCGGTGGGGTGACCGGTTGATTATAGCTACTATAATGAAGGTATGTTACTTCGTGTATTAATATGTAGTATGTTGCGATCGGTAGATTATTGTATTAGGACCCGGCTATGATTTATGAAGCTTTCTTGGAATCTTCTAACTTTTTTCCGTTCGTACTTTCGTTAATTTTCTGAAGGGGTGAACGGTTGATGGCTACACGATTCAGGCAGACATTACGGGTATTAATATGTGTACGCTAACAACGTTATTAACATTAATTCGTGACCGCAGGACGCAGGAATTGGTTTTAATAAGGTACTTTAATTATGTTAGATCTATTGGTCGGACCGTGATTAATTATAATTATACCTTCGATGGGAATTATTCGAGTTTCCTCGTTCGTTTCGTACGGAGGTTATTGAAAAATTCACCTACACAGATTTCACGAACAGTAGGTAGTTAAGATGTTAACCTTTACGCAAAAACCCGTCCGAGCTGCGAGTTAATTTACCCTGACAGAGTTATTGAGTCCAGTTCGAATGAGTTTCGTTCGCTGACGTTGATTAATTATGCCCGCGCTTCTTTAAAATCTTCGGTTAATTCCACTCGAATTACGCATGTCAATCTTTTTCCCCCCGAGTCTTTAATGTATCACTTACTGTGATTGGGTGTACGAAATAATTTTGGACCTGGCCAGTTGTTCCGTCGCTTTGTTAAAAAATTAATTACAACGTCTAAGCAGTTTTTAAAACATTATAACATCAATTATTCCTATTGTCCAAAATTCATCTAACGAAGTATGAAAACCAAATGCGAGAAGAATGTAATTGTTGATCAGGGAGAAAAGAAGTTAGGAAGGGAAATTAAAAAAAAGATAAGTCGAAGCACACAGTCGTGAGTCCGTCGACTCTGCGGCTGGCTGTTTTTCTCCCATAGAGCCGGCTTTCGATCCATCCTTTGAGCACGTTCAAGCCGGATAATTAAGACGCGCCGACGGGGGAGACGATGAATTATAATCGAGTCGAGAAAAATCCGCCTGGCTTGTGTAGGAACGTAGTGAATCGGATTTCGCGTGCACGATTCCACGTCCAGACGCAGATCGATCTCTCGTACGAGCCTCCATAACGGGGGTTTACGATAATTGCTAAGAGCATCCCGTGCAATTTCGAGCTTAATGGGTTGCCCGACGAGCGTTGAATTCCTTTTAGCATCGGGGAAAATCGCGGTGAGAGTAGCTACGATAACGAAACACCCTTGTGAACGTCGCGCTGTGTATTTACCCAAACGTACACAGTAATTAATCATTTTTAGCATGTGACGTCCGAAAGTTAGAAATCATATCAGTATGTCTAATAATAAATTATATTTAGAGCAACGTATCATTAGTAGTTCCCTTCGCTCTACTTTCTATGTACTTCTACGAAAAACAAATAGTAATTTATTGTTTGTACCATAAAATCGGTTAAAGTAAGCATTTAATTGGACGAGCAATTATCCGCGCCATTTATTCCGCTCCCTCGCGAGGCAAACGTGATATTAAACACTGGAGAGGTGCGCGAGGGAGCATATAGAGAGTGACAGAGCGCTCTCCACGGTTCGAGGTAGGTACCCATCGGTTTCTCGGAATAATTTCGGCCGAATTTTTTCGGACGTCAGCCACCGCGCGTTATAACGGTAATTCCACCGCGGACTGTAATTGAAAGAGAGCAGAGCAGCGGCGCTTAATTGCGCTAGGTCGAAATCATCGAGGGAACGGCGACGCGGAGTCCTGCCACTTCCCTCTTCCTCGAAACTCATTTCTAAAAAGGGCCTCCCTTCCCATACAACTCGTGGAGCCTGGCGGTCGCGGCCACTTCTCGCTCCCGAGGCCCAATTACCCCCGAGAAACACACTCGGGGTTGCTCTCGCTCCGAACGCTCGCCTCTTGGACCACCGTTTCGGCGATCTCCAAGTGCCACACAGGCTGTATTTAGCCGTCAACGAGATTGCGCTTCCAAGCTCCTACCAATGCTCCCGTTGCGGGTGTTTCCAGTGAACAAGAGATTTGGTAACTGATTGAACCATCGATGCTTCCCACTGGAGTGTCTCAAGTGGCACCCTCCACAAGCACTCTTCAGAGTTTCGTTTAGTTCAGTTCTAATCTGTTGCTCTTGTTTGGCTAAAGTATAAAGGGCTGTCACATAAATTTGCTACCTAATTGGATACCGGATATGCAACTTTTGGATGTTTCTCATGGAACAGAGAACGACACCAGTGATTCTAATATTATTAATGATCGAATATAAATGTTTGATGACAGTATTTATAATTGTCTCTAAAGACTGTGATCTTGTAGTTGTGGAAAACGTATGAATATCCTTTGCCAGGAAGAGTCGGCGCGGCGGCGGCGTGTCCCGGGCACACTTCCTGAATACATAGAGAACGCGTGCACGAGAGCGTGTAATAACCGCGCAGGAAGATACAAATAAGACCGAGCCATTACACTGATGCAACGTGTTATACATTTTTCGACGGGGCATCGCGGCGCGGCGCGCGGACAATAGCGCGATACATGCCGGCGCACAATGATACCAACACAGGCATGCTCGCGGGGAGAAAGGGAGAGAGCGGTGAGAGGGCGAAGGCAGATGATAAGTGTGGGTGACGAGGCAACATCGGCGGAAAAAAAGACCGTGGTTACATCGTAAGTGTGTATCCGCTTGATGAGAACAAGCAGAAGGATGCAGCGGCGCGGCGGCGTGCCGCCCTCCTATATTCTTGTGCAACGACACAGGAATCGGGGAGAAACGCCGCCGTGAGACAAGCTCCAGACGTTACCTGCGCACGTAACCAAACTAACGCAACCGACAACTGCCGGTGGTGGTTCAACGCTTTTATAGATGCCTGTCCCGAGGTGATTTACCGTGGAAATCGGCGAGCGGAAGGAACTATTTTCGACCGACAATGAGACAGTTTGGTAACTACGCTTGGAAGTCCTTCGCGCTACGCTCTGGGATTAATATAGTAATCTTGTCAAACGAAGAAACGATAATTGTTTGAAAGCTTCATTTCATTTCCTGCAATTTCTTAAACTAAGAGAAATGACTTGGAAAGATTAGGAATAATTAAAAAACGGATAAACTGAAAGGTCGCGAGAAGGAGCGAGCGAAGGAGAATGGAACGTCCAGCAGACTGACTGTCTTTACACGCGTTCATCGAATTAGTCTAAGATAAGTTAATAAACCTCGTCCCAATGATTCATCGCGGAGCCGGCCGCTACTTATCTAATCGTTCCACTTTGCGACAGTTTGCGCTTCGTTCACTCTGATGCATGTAATTAATATGTAATCGTCTTTTTTTCTTTATTCCACTATCCGGCCTCGATAGACCGTGCTCGATACGTAAGCCGGTTGTCGGTAATTGCAGCTTATCTAGTCCCGCGACCTTATCGTTCAGCATCGGCGAGTAACTACTCTGTCTCTCGCGGCTTGATTATCGGCTATCTAATTGGACTTTTCTTTTCTCCTCGAGTGCGATGCAATTTCATGGGAGACTGCGTCGGAAAGCGCGGCGCACTCTTCCAATAGTAGATACTAATATGTTTCTAAAAATACGTTTCTCTAATTGGACTACAGATTTCAGCTGAGAAGAGTTGCTATAAATAACTCCAGGTTTTATGCAACTTTCGAGTTGTATGAATGAAACGAAGATATGACGCAACTGATTACAGTTTCACACTGACAATGAGAGGTAGTCAGTTGGAGCATAGTAGGTATAGCAAAAAATTAAATACCCTTCGAAGCTCTGATGCTCGATCGTACTCGAATCTTGTTAAGAAGTAAATTCTTTGAACCGAGCATAACTAAGTCGATCTAGAGAACAATCTAACAGTACTCGCAAACTTGTAACATTCTCGATGGAAAGCTTCGCGGGGAAGCAGCAGGACGCTGGCCGTCGGCGCGTCGGCTCGATTAAACGCGTGACAGCGTACATGCCCGTATGAGTCGAATACGGAAGAGAATTCCGCGTTGTCGCGGAATAGGGTAGATAAAAGCGTACACGTACCTGTATGAGGTGGGCAAGGAGCAGGACGTAGGCGGCGGCCGCCCTCATGTCTTTCCTCGAGGAATCCCTCGACTACCGCATCACCATTCCCCGTGGGTCACCTGTACTCTTCCCCAGCCACTCCTAACGATTTATCGAATCGGCTCGTTTGACTCTTCCACTCCTATAGATCCGTGTATCCCCTGTCAGCTCAAAACCCTCGAAAACCACTCGTCACACCGTACATACGATCGACCGGGTAATACAGATCCTCGTTCGTCGATCGGGCACACTTCACTTCTTATGTATTCCTACTACTTCCGGTCCGCGGTTACACACCCAATTACGCTAGCCACTGACGTCGATTCATCAATTTTCACGGTTCTCCACTTCGTACATTCCAAGACACTTCTATCTCCTTACGAAGCACTGTTTAACACTACTATATCATAAGTTATCGTTTTACGAGCGATCGGCAAGACGCGCACGTACGATCCGGGTAATGCGTATTTACTTAAGAGTTCCGACCCGTTTTCTCGCGGATACTCGCGGTTTATTGTAGCAGGATCGTTCTCAGCGAGAGATCGACTCCGACTTTCCAACACGACGACCACGACTCCTCGACGGCGAGGAGTTATCGAGGATGCGGGACGGGGGCCTGGAAGATGTTTACGTGCACTCTCGCGACGCGACAGGTAGGTAGGTACCTTTCCCTCGTACGGTTGCCTTTGATCGTGCGATATCGGTACGTCGTTACGATCCTTCTCGTTTTCCCCCTTTTTCTCCAGCTGTCTTTCTCCCTGCTCGCCCGTTTCACCTCGAGCGACGGTAATTAATCGAGTCGAGCCGCGTCGCGTCGTTGTTCACGTGACGCACGCTCGATAAGATCGCGCCTCTTCTTCTTCTTCTTCTTCTTCTTCTTCTTCCTTGGTCTCTTTCACGAACCCCGACGACCTACTTCGACGGACCCTCGAATCGTTTCCCAAAAGACTAATGAGAATTAAATGCGACGGCTCGTTCAACAGTCGACGCACCACCTGTTCTTCGAACTGTTCAATCACCAGAGCAACTGGAGCACGTGCTTCTCGATGCCGAAGGACTTTACAAGTGAAATCGCACGAGATACTCGACACTGTTCATACCTTACGATTATGTCACTGTTCATTAAATTAAAGTGCACCGGAACCATTAGTCCTCAATTCGCACAGGATCTAACTTTCTCGTCTGAAGCAAACATCCAATACACATTGCTCCAAACCGATCGAAGGTGGCGAAGCTCGAGAATTATGGTCAGCTTCGCAGGATTAATCCACAAATCGTTGGACACACTGGATACCACGATTCAAACCGAGACTTCGGGGTCCCGCGCCTCGGGGGATGATCTCACCCCTTTCGCTGGACGCGCGCTTCGGACAGCCAGTGGTCGGCGATAACCACGCGCGTCGGTCAAACTGTCGCGTACTGTTCGCCACGGATATCGGCGTGTTCCCCGAGAGGAACAGGTGTGCGAACGCCGCAGCCGAAGACGGAGTCGCGCGCGCGTAACCCCGTGTACACGCGGCCCTTCCACGATCCGTGTGTGTGGGTGCGTGTGGCTTCGCTCGCGTGTACGCTCCCGTGAAACGAATGTGAGTGTTCGTGTGTGCGTGTGTTGTGGCTGGTGTCGTGCACGCTGGAGCACGGAAACGCAGAACCTCCGCGGGGTACACGAGACGGTCGCTCCGGGGATACTGAGTCGGAGCCGCAGGCCGGCCTGCGGGCCTCCCCCTCCCCCTCGTCGGAGTACACTCTCCTTTGCTCTCGCTCCCTGCGCTCGGTTTCTCTCGCACCAAGCCCACCTGTCTATCCTCCTCTCGGTCTCTCTATCGCGAGAGCGTCCCTTCCCCGTGGTAAACCTTCCCTTCCCGTCGCCTTCTCCACCTCCAACGCGGGAGCATCGACGACTCCCACCATCATCGGTGGGACCGCTCTTCACCCCGACCCCATGGATCCAAGCTCGCTCGATCAAACTCTCTCTTTCTCTCCTACGAGGGTGCTCTCGCACTCTTTCCACGCTCGTGGACATGCTCGTGGATACGAATTGGAGCAAAATCAAGTAAATTGCATTCAAATAACAAACGAGACTGAAGAATATTATTTTATTTGACAGGCAATTGATAATTACTTCGTGTTCCTAGTCCAGATTTACTTGAATAAGATTTAGATCAAAGGTTCAGTCAAGCTTTAATTGTTCGATTTAAAAGGCCTTGGTTTGATACGTACTTGCGTGAAGACGCATTTAGAATCGTAATTAATTTACTGTATTCAGTATTTTGACAATGTTTTAATTTATGTGACTCTTTCCTGTATCATTAATTCAAATTTGAAAATAACTTTTGAACCCTATGAACTCCTATTGATGAACTTGAGAACATTTTTCTCAGACCATTTATATAGAATCAATTCTCTGTCTTCTCGTTTGTTTGGTCTAAGCGCGGCTTTAAGAAACGTTAATGCGCGGTACATGGATAGATACTTTGTGGTACCGTCTCTGTTTAACCTGCGGATGACGTCTCTCCGTGTAGAAGGCATTACACGGATCGTACACTTGCGCGCCGTTCTGTGGATGCTGGGCTCCGTGGATATCCGCGACTCGGAGCGGAGCACTCGCGTATATCTTGCAATCGGTTTCATCGCGAGTGCCCGTTGTGTATTCTCACCTCGGCGGATGAGACTATGAAACTCAGAGGTCGAGCTCTGTCCGTTTCTACACGACACACCGTGTATTCCTCGGAAGACTGGAGTCTTAACGATATAGATTTCGATCATGCATATTTTTCAAGTTCAATTAGCCGTGACTATGTACGCTGTTAACGTAGTGTTAAATGATAAAGGGTATCAATAGCATGAAATTGAATTTTGCAATTTTTTTTTTTACACACCCCATGTGTTCAATTTTTCCCATAAATGCACGAAGTCTCAGGATGATTGGTAATCGATATTCTACCGTGGGTCAAAAGCGGTCGTGCAACGTCGTCGCGAGGACAGGTCCAATTTTCGTGCACAGTTTCCGAGCCCGAGAAATTAAAGTTATTAAATTCACGGTTACGCGGGGCATAATGACTGGGACAGGGGAAGGGGTCCACGAAATTATGTATATCCCGGTGGAATGATTTTCGGACGATGAATAATGGATAAGTGGCTGTCGCGTGTCCACCGTCATTATGTTGCCGATACCGTGGGGTACATACCTACTACTACGGTACCTACGTGGCCTCTTCGGCGAGAAATGCCATCGGCGCGGACCGTCATTGAATTTCTGCCCCCGTATGTACGATGTTCCACGTAATTCGCGTGTCGAGTTATCGCGCGAGTCGAACGAACGGCCCGGTTAAACGGCGATAAATTATCACCGGCAACCGGGTCTCTCCTCGAGTGAACTTCTTTCTAGTCGCGGTTGCGTTATTCCGCGAAACAGAACGCTCGAGAGAAACTGCTGGGTTTTTTTTTATCTCCTGCAATTCATCTTTGAACGTTTAAATTAATTCATGGAGACGTCATAAATTACAATTAGAGCACAATTAATTTCATTATTGGCTTTCAATTTATAATTGAGACCACAAGAGGAAGAAAATTATTATAAGTCGTTCATAGAATTACATCATTAATTCTTGTAATTAAAAGAAAAGAATTTCGTTATAAACTGCGAGTGTACGAAACAAAGAAAAACTAAGTTGTAAGGGACTAAAAAAACGTATAGAATCGTTCTACTAGCGTAACTAACTGCGTCGGTGTAACTATGCAGATGATCAAATCAATTTCCCCGGTAGAGTAACGCTCGATCGCATTAGCCTAATTGCAATCAGACCCCAGAACTTCCACTTCCATCCGTATCCACCGAAGAAAAACGAGCGGCCATTTAACAGAACCCCGCAGCGATCGAAATTAAATTTTCGCGATTCCAGCCCTGATTTCTTCCACTCATTACATATAGCAAGGTTATCTCTGCTCGAAAGAAATTGTATAGTTTATCCCAAGAGAGCAAAGTGATACCTTTGCAAAAATTGATAGATTTGTAAAAATTCGTATTCGAGAATATTATTAAATTAATAATTAATCTCGTAGCTTTCATTATTAATTAAGCATAATTTTTAACAAGACGAGGAAATTTAAGAAAGTTCCGAGTAACGTTGAAACGGATTGTGCACTTTTCGGTTTCTGTTTCATCAGGCGTCAGCTTTCGGAAATATGGCAAACGCGTTCTCATGGGACAAACAGTAGGGTATAATGTTGTATAGGAGAGGGACCGATACCAATGGGCAACATCGTAGTCGCCTCTGGTTCGCTCTCTGTCCGGTTTCGTTCGTCAGGCCCGCGGGATCGACGAGTATACTCGTGGTAGCGTGCCAGTATGGTGCACCGTGGACCATGGACGGATGGACGGACGTACGCTCGGTAGTAGTGGTATACCGTGCTGCCCCCCCCCCCCTGATCAGTCGCTCTTTTCGCCTCTCCTTCTTCAACGTGCTCTTCAGGTTCCACGGCGCACGTTGCCTCCGTCTCTCTTCGCCCGTGGATTCTCATCCTTCATCTTTTTCCCGTCTGCCTACCGCACGGAGTATATCCCGCGTTCCATCTCTCCTCTTCCTGGTTCACCCGGTATCGTTCGGTCTCCTTCTGGGCCGAGGCACTGGCTTTACTGGAGGGCTCGGAGAGAAGTTAGCCGGGGGGCATCATGGTGGCTACACCGCTGGCTTCTCGCGTCTCTCGAAGACTCGCAACACAGTGTGCCCCCCGAGGGTCAAGGAACTCCCTCGGGAACAGGTTCACCTCCTCCTTCTCCTCCTCGTTGGCTCCCTGCCCCCGCCCTCGTATCGTTCCTTCTTCGTGGCATCACGGGTCTCCCCCTCGCCCCCTTACACCCTGAACCGCCCTATGCCCCCTCCGGTTCGTACCTTAGGGTTTTACTTATTTTCTCTTATTACCGCTGGTGGGCATGTGGCCACGCTTAACGCACTCACACATCCTTTCGCGTATAGATGGATACACGCCGCGACGGGGATGTGTACAGAGAGATGCGCGGCGTTGGTCCAGCTCCGGGCCCCGTCAGTCTCCTCCCGGTCCCCTCCGGATCTTCTTGGTTCTTCCCGCTGTTTTCTCTCCTCTTAGGCCTCCTTAGGTATATACTCCAATATGTGAGCACATTATTACAGCCGCAATGGAGGCCGGGAGTAGGGGCCCGAGAGGGTTACAGGGCTCGGGTAAAGGGAGGAGGCGAAACGCACACGCGCTTCTGGGCGAACGTAGAGAAACGCGCGAACGTGTACACGCGCGCAGGAGTGTTTAGGTGCGCACTGTTCGAGAGAGACTCTTCTCTTCTTCCCCCATCCTCCTCCTCTTCGTGAAAAGCAAAGTTTGGCTTATTTCTCTTCGTCTCCTTCCCTCGTTTCTTGCCCCGCTTTTGCGTCCCTCTTTCACGGCCCCTCCTAGCCCTTCACGTCCCTGGTCCCAGGCCCCACCGCCTCCAGATATACCAGATTCCACCTGTGCTGCCTGATATCTTGCCCGTTGCTGCCGTGCTCATCCGCCTTGTTTTCGTTGTCTCCCCTCGTGTCGTGAGATCGTTTCGAATTCGTCCGGCCGGGGTGTTCCCGACCTTTTCTTCGCCCACTCGAATCGCGTATCCCTTCAAACGGGTTAAATCGTTTCATAATGAGCGCGTTTAAATCGTTATTTCTCATAGAGCCGAGCGACTCTTTTTACTCGCTCCCGAGACCCGAAGGCCGTTTTCTTATTCTTAATCTCACTCTCTTCAGGGGTTTTTCCTGTAGCATTCGTTAAAACACGTTTCCCGCTCGTTTCCATTTCGATTATTCCAGGAGGCATTATCCGCAGCGCTGCGCCGGTCGGTTTACCGAAAGGCCCTCGCGAAATTAAGGTGTAATGGATACGCGACGGGATACAAACCGCGTGAGCAGCGCATACGCGGAGGGATTTTAATGATCCTTCTTCAGGTATTCGTCGGCCAGCTATAGATACCAGATTCCAGCTGGGCCGCCACTGCCGCCGCGCCGCCGCCGCCGCTCCGCACTGCTTGGAAATCCACCGCGTCTTCCCTCGTCGCGTCTCTCGGCTTCCACAGGCCGAGTTTCTTGCCTCCGGCTTCTGCGTTTGATACGTTGTTGTCGTGAAATTACTGTTCCCTGTTTGATGTTCGCGGAACGATTACTACGGGGAAATTTACGGGAACAGTGTATTTAAAACCTGTCGCTTCACAAAGTGTTGAATGAGATGAGAACTGCAACTTTGAAATATTATTTACGACTAATTCATGGAATCGAAACTTCTTAATTTTTAGAGATAATAATCTTCATATATTATAATTAATTAATCGTTGAAGCAAGTCGTTATTTATTTAGAGCCGAGGATTTTAATTAAATTTTAGTATCTCGATTATTTAAACTGTAAGACGTATGAGACACAGTATGTGAAACTGTATTTTCATTCTCATCGCGTTTAATTCGCAAAAAAGGTGAAGCGAAGTAAAGGGATCATTTTCGCAGGATGAAACCATCGGTTGATCGGTTTCTGGGGGAATTTGCATGCGTATCACGAGCCACGGTACGCTGCTGTTACCTCCCCGGTTCCGTTAACCGTGAATACACGTCAAGTGTCCTTTTGACACGGCACGCTAATTGCTCCGGCTGAAATCGCGTACCCGTTACTCAG